CCGCGCCGACTAAAAGGGCTGGTTGCGCTGAAAGGGCCCAGGGAAGGCTTTGAAGGCCCACGCTGAGTGAAGGGCTCGACAACAGACGAGATCTCGAAACATTACGATAGTTAGAAAAACCTGGCTAAAATAAAAGGATGAGAGTCAGATTATGAATTTAAGCTTTCGTGATCTGATGCGGAAAGGACCTGGTGCTGGACCCTCGGGGACCACGGTGTAGGACCTACTCCAACCAATATGCCCTATTCTGGAGCATCGCGGCACCCTCCGAAGTCGGCGTAGGGATCTCAGAGACTGGTTTTGGAGACGGACCTGGATTTATTAGGGGCCGTCGCACGGTGTGTGGCGCTCAGAGGCAGCCATGGGCCGTCTAAAACCATTGGTCTTTCGAGCCTCTTGGTATCCACCAAGAACTTGAGCCCATGACACGACGCCTCATTTCCAGCTACATGTGCTTACCGTAGTTAGATCCTTAGATGTAGATGCGGTTAATTGCTTTTTATTTCGTTTTTTTTTTTTATTTTGCCAAGTGATGGCTGACAAAATATTGGTAGGGCTCAGGGAATATTGGTAGGGCACAAATAAACATTGGTAGAGCTCGGGCCCTACCAGGCCTATACAAAACGACACCCCTGGCATTACGCGCAGCGTAAAGAGGGACAGCATTACGCGCAGCGTAATAAATTAATTTTCATTAAAATCGGCCCAGTAGCGGCCGAGTTATGGCCAGAATAAATTTGGCGTCTCCTCTTGGCCGGCGGTGCTCTGTTCCGGTATTCATTGCCAAAGGTCAGTGACCTTCCGGCTCTGATTTTGCTCAGTTTGGCAAGCGAAGAAACTGAGCCTAAGGCGCGTGCCGTCTGCTCGGCGCCGGCCGCGGCCCAAAATGCTGCAAAGATGCGCCCGCCACGTGCACACCGCTGCACGCACCCCCTCCAAAATTTAATACAACAAACAGATGCACGCGTCCGACTTCAGTCGAAAATTTCACCCCCGTAGCCCGCACCGTTCCGGAGCAATAGCCCGCCAAGCGTGACTGACGCGTTACATACATACATACATACATACATACGTACAGACGTTTTGATTTTTATATATGTAAACTAGAGGGACAGCATTACGCGCAGCGTAATGAATCAATTTTCATTAAAATCGGCCCAGTAGCGGCCGAGTTATACCCAGAATAGATGTTGCGTCTCCTCCTGGGCGGCGGTGCTCTATTCCGGTATTCATTGCCAAAGGTCAGTGACCTTCCGGCTCTGATTTCACCCAGTTTTGGAAGCGAAGAAACTGAGCCTAAGGCGCGTGCCGTCTGCTCGGCGCCGGCCGCGGCTAAAAATCCCGCAAGGATGCGCCCGCCACGTGCACACCGCTGCACGCACCCCCTCGAAAAGTTGATACGACGAACAGATGCACGCGTCCGACTTAAGTCGAAAATTTCACCCCCGCAGCCCGCACCGTTCCGGAGCAATAGCCCGCCAAGCGTGACTGACGCGTTACATACATACATACGGACATTTTGATTTTTATATATGTAACTAGGTGTCCAGCATTACGCGCAGCGTAATAAACCAAGTTTCATTAAAATCGGCCCAGTAGCGGCCGAGTTATGGCCGAATGAATTTAGTGACTCCTCTTGGCCGGCGGTGCTCTGTTCCGGTATTCATTGCCAAAGGTCAGTGACCTGCCGGCTCTGATTTTGCTCAGTTTTGAAAGCGAAGAAACTGAGCCTAAGGCACGTGCTCACAGCTCTGCGCCGGCCGCGGCCCAAAATCCCGCAAAGATGCGCCCGCCACGTGCACACCGCTGCACGTACCCCCTCGAAAAGTTGATACGACAAACAGATGCACGCGTCCGACTTGCGCCCAAAATTCCACCCCCGTAGCCCGCACCGTTCCAGAGCAATAGCCCGCCAAGCGTGACTGACGCGTCACATACATACGTACATACATACATACATACATACGGACGTTTTGATTTTTATATTATACTAGAGGGACAGCATTACGCGCAGCGTAAAGAGGGACAGCATTACGCGCAGCGTAATAAATCAAGTTTCAATAAAATCGGCCCAGTAGCGGCCGAGTTATGGCCAGAATAAATTTGGCGTCTCCTCCTGGCCGGCGGTGCCCTGTTCCGGTATTCATTGCCAAAGGTCAGTGACCTTCCGGCTCTGATTTCGGTCAGTTTTGAAAGCGAAGAAACTGAGCCTAAGGCGCGTGCCGTCTGCTCGAAACCGGCCGCGGCCCAAAATCCCGCAAAGATTCGCCCGCCACGTGCAAGCCACCGAACCCACCCCCACCAAAATTTAATACGACAAACAGATGCACGCGTCCGACTTAAGTCCAAAATTTCACCCCCGTAACCCGCACCGTTCCGGAGCAATAGCCCGCCAAGCGTGACTGACGCGTCACATACATACATACATACATACATACATACATACATACGGACGTTTTGATTTTTATATATGTGAATGTAATGTTCGTGTGCTTCTGTTCGGGGCCGGAAAATCACAGCGGCGCGCTGGTGTTATGTTATGTTCCTGGTTTGCGATGCAGTCGCCGGCCGGTGGCCACTGCGCCTCGCGGACCGGGCCATGTCCTTCGACACCGGGCAGACCAGTGCACTGCCAGCCATAACACACACTTCCGACCCTGTGTGTATGACCTGTCAGGCGGCTGGGTTTGATCGCGTCCGGTGCCAGAGCGGCTGCGGCAGATAAAATATGATTGTTGAATGTTGTTGTTTGAGCCGTGAGCTCGGTTGCCGATCCGTCAAGCCTTCGCAGACATGATATATCAACTTGCGAGCTGATGATCGATAAAAAATTGACGGTCATGCTAGGCACAGTAGAAGAAAAAAAAAGAGTTTGCCATAGATCATAGACCTCGCATACATACATATAAAGTACGTGCCATTATCGACAGATCACCATAACAAAGCCAAGCAGTAATTTGCAAACACGAACATATTAGCCATTTTCACGACGATTATCTGTCACAGATTCGAAACAATTGGTGTGAATTGGTCAAATTTGTTTTATTGCTGATTCTTAGTAGTTTAAAGTTTTCAGCTATTGCTGCTTTTATACCTGATTTATCAAATTATCAGACATTACTAACGATATAACTATTGGAATAAATTGACGGTATGAAGATATTCATTGTAAAATAAATTTGGTTAGATTTGGTTTAGTTTGGTGCTTTGCCAGATAACCCCTCGTGAAAACGGTTATTTTCACATTTTTTACATGCTCAGGCAGCTGAAGGAAAGTAAAGTAAAGATACCAAACCACCTAGTCCCTAATTTTGATAAGTACGGTATCTATCAACCCGGCATAAACACGTACAGTACATGAAAAAGACAAGTGTCGCATGACTAAATCTATTTCCCACATGTTACCAAACAGTCATTCCTCAGCTCGATAATGCTGAATTCATGCGACCCAGAGTGATATCTTAAAACGGATTGTTACCAAGTCGATGTGATCTCTCCCCACCAATGACATTTGACGATAAAGAACGGATCATCCTGTGTTAGTTCCATTGTCTCCAGGGTATATATGTGCAGATAGGCCAATTGATACCAGAACAATCCGTCGATAACTTCGATAACTCGGCGAGAGAGCAGCCGTATATTTTTAAGTATCATGGGCTCTTATCCACTGCTCATTTAAGTTGCACAATCACACAATTATTTCATTGTCACACTTTAACAAGAAGGGAAAAGCTATATATGACAAGCATTTGACAGCTAAGTACCCGCCGGCCGGTATAAGGCAAAAAGGGCCATAAGTAAATTTTCATAATTTTTCACAACGGAGCATTGCTCGCCTATTTGATAGATTTGAAAAGGAAGAAGCAAAGCAGTCGACTATTTCATTTGAAAGGTACTACTACTACTATACCTGTAGTAAAAATCTACTTAAATTTATCAGGCACTAAATGGATCAAACGGATCAAATATGCGTCCACTGTTTCGCTGTGAAAATGGCTGATGTGACACACCATTTTGTTTAAGCTAGCATGTGATTAATCGTATTCAAAACATAGCTAAAAAAAAACTAGCTAAAAGAAGTTCGAAATTCTCGATCATGCTGCCGCCATTCATAAGCATAACATACAATGAAAAAAGCCAAAAGAAAGTCCTTTTAAAATATACATGTATTGATAATGCATTGTATTGATACATGGGAATGCCAGCGACGTTATTTTGTATTTATATTTCAAGAATAAGACACATCTCAAACGGCAACAATCATTTTTTTCTGGAGCGCCGTAACATTTCATCCAGGTATTTGTGAGCTTTACTGGTTCACTTTGAAAGTAATGTTTCCTTTTGGGAAGCCTATTTAAATTAATCTTACAGGCCACTGCAATGATAACTGGCATTGAAATATCGTGAGCTCGTATATTTTGTGTGTGAATGACCGAACGCTCTTATCAGCCTCTTATGATAAAAAAATGCAATGTGAAATCGTCTAGCATGCCTACATTTTTGAAGTACACACCGCAAAAATAATTCTAATTATATCGCAAATTGTCGTACTTAATTTCAGATACTTACGTTCCAAACAGACGATGTTCGAAGACACATTTGAAGAAACATTAAGTCAACATATACCTTCCCTGCCCCTTTCCACCGTATGAGTTTATTTTTGATGGCAGCTTGCCTGCACTTACGTATACACGAAATCCGACCCGATCTTGCCCAACAACAGACCCGATTTCCGAGAAGTTACCCTAGGTTGGTATCTGCAGTGTTCGGAGCGGGCGCAGTGCCACGCGCCGCGGGCTCTGCGCGCGCCTGACGCCCAGCTGCCGCGGCTGACCTCTGGGTCAGGTCGCGTACCGCCGCTGCCGGCCAACGACCGAAGCTTGACCCAGATCGGGCGGCCGCGGCCGGCGGATGCGCGGCGAGGTCCGCCAGCAGCAGAAGGCGGCAGCGGCGGCGGCGGCACTGCGCGCGGTCCCAGCCCCAACACTTCCGGACACCGGCGACGGCCCGGGCGCGCCACCCTCCCACCAAAAGGCGCATGAAAAGTGGGGGCGTATAAAAGCAACGCACCAGTCGATAGTATGGCTGTGTCGCGTGCGCCTGTGTACCGCTCCAGTGGTGGCGAGGTCCGCTCCCGTTGACTGGGCTCGGACCGTGGTCACCCGCCGCCGGCCCGCCCTCCGCCTCCCGCCCTCCGCCGCCGCCGCGCCGCCGCCGCCGCCGCGCCGCGCCGCGCCGCAGCTCTTCGTCAGCTCCCGGCCCGGACAGATGGCTGCTGCGGTCTCTGCCATGCTGGACCCGACCGGTCTCTACTAGGGCCCGCTGGCCCGATGCCCGGCTGGCGGTACTCTGTGGGCGGCTGCAATGCGCCGCCTGCCGCTGCTGCTGCTGCTCTACAGCCTGAGGAGGTGCTGCGGCGACTCAGCGGGCTCGCCGAGTCCGGCCGAGCCCTCCGCCAGCCCCCGCCAGATCCAGCTGACCGAGGGAGCCACCGGCAGAGGAGGTGAGATTCGGGGCCGGCGCCCCCCGGCCGACCGCGGGCCCCTCCACTAAACTGGATTAACTGGCCTCAAGTGCTGTGATGTTTATAGTTCTCGATTACGCTGGTCATTGCATGTGTTTATCAAATGCACTTGTCGCATGGCTTGTTTTCCTATTCATTGACCATGCAGTAGCCACCTTTTCAATGTTGAATTGAATCGTTAGTGTACGCAGGCTAAGCGTTGTTTTTTCTTCTAGAAGGTGCCTCGCTGAGGCAGCGCGCACGTTTGCCGTACGTTCCTAACCCTTTGGCGCGACCTAAAGTTTCGGTTTCCGTGTCACTGTAGTAAAAACAAAACCTGTCAATCAGGTTTGGCGTCGAATAGTCACAAGGAATATTGGGTAACATTTTTTATTTGCACCAAGAGGCCTCTTTTCTTGTCATCATCTTCCAAATATGGGACATATGATACGCAATCCAGTAGTAGCACAGCCCATAGAAAAAAATCAATTTTTGATTAGTGACCAGTTGTGAAAAGCTGCCTGTCAGGCTGCCCAGACACGTAAAATATAGTCGTGATGGGAGTGTTTCCACATAGTGAAACTCGATATTCGAGGAAGACATCCCCTGGCTTTAAATGTGGCTGAAAACCGCAAAGGACAGACCCATAAGTTTTCATATGCAAACAAACTAAAAATCATAAGCGATGCTAATATTAGTTCATAATAAGACGCGGAGAAACGAACGCATGCTTTCTGAGGAAAATAATGACGAAGACCTTAACGTTTGCAGCCACATTAATAGCAACGTTCCCGATGTATTCCGTGACAACATTCTGCAAACTGAACTTTTTCAATTATCCGGCTTGAGGTGGGCAGCGCCACCGTGACAATACAAGCTGGTGTATAAATCATTTCGCTGCCTTGACCATCCACGGCTTTCTCGGCGGCGCCTCCCGTTCCCCGCTGAGCAGGGTGGCGGCAATAATTGTCGGCTGTCGCTGCTCCTCTCCCGCCCACTGCGGGTGTCCAGCGGGCGCGGGGGGGGGGGGTAACCAGGGGACACAGTCTGCCGGGAGGGGTAACAGAGCGGGGGCGGGCCCATGGGAGGGACACAGTCTGCCGGAGGGGCCGGGCGGATCCAGGGGACACATACAGGGGTGGATCATGTGCCGGGAGGGGCCGGAGAGGATCCAGGGGGACACAGTCTGCCGGGCGGGGGCGGGCGGATCCAGGGGACACAGTCCGCCGGGAGGTTCCGGGGGCGGGGCGCCGTCACGGGTGCCAGTGGCGGTGTCGGTCGGTCGGTGGGGCGGCTGACACGCCTGGCCTCCCTGCTGGCTGTTTGTTTCTTTGGCCGGACCACCCAGTGTCTGAGAGGACAAATGCTGGCGGGAGCGGCACCGGACGTGACGCGGCCGCCGCCGGGGGCGGTCCGGGTCCACGGCGACCACCGACCGGTCACATGTCACCTTCAGACGGGTCACGGAGCACTCCGGGCTCCCGGCGACTCCCTCCAGACTGCAGCTATTGTCTGATCAAGGCCGAGAAACAAATCACGGCAACCAGCGCTCAGGTCAGGAGCATAGTGCAATCAGGTCACTTCCAGACCAGTTTCAGAATAGGTATTGTGGAAGGTCCGCCGGACGCATTCCACAGTCGAACACTTTTCCACTCTTTTTTATTCAGGACCCTCTGATTAGAATAGAAAGATAATGAGTCAGATATTACTCCTGACATTTCGGCACATCCTTGAAAAGTTTGTGGTATATTTGGAAGCGCAGTGAAAAAGTGCGGTTCGGTGGATCGCGCGTCCCAGGCCAGTCTGTCGGCATTCGGCTAGTTTCTCTACCGTGCCGGCGGCGATGGCCTCACCGCTTCTCCGAACCCAATCTGGTTTGACGGGATCGTTTAAACTATTAGCATGTCATCGACAACCTGTCGACAAAAAGATAGATAATACATGATTTTTAGGCGATGGAGATCTGCTTGCCATGGTCTCTCCTAAATATAGCTGTCGTTCTGCGTCAAAGAAGCAGACTGGTCGGACGAGCGGCGCTGATTGCTGGCCTGTCGGCGTGAGTGGCTCCATGGCTCAGGCCGGCTATCTCTGCCTCTGTCTCCCTCCCGCTGCCTCCCGCTGTTCTCTGGGGGTGAGACGGCCGGCGGGCGGGGGTAGGGAGCTGGGTCAGCCGTGGGGGCGGCAGACCATCGGCCAGGGGGTCCAGGAGCTGAGCCCGGCGGCGCCGGTTGCATGCACTGGTCACCACCCACGCGCGGCGCGCTCACCAAGGTCTCGGTGGCCGGAGGGACGGCAGCCTTTCACCCACCACCAACCCGTCCCCGGGGGACCGGCCGCCCCCGCCTGGCGGCCTCGGGTGCCGCCCCCGCCCCCGCCCCGCCCCCACCCCGGCCCGGCTGCCGGGTGGCCCTCGCCGCGAGACGCAGACCGCCGCGCTCGTCTCTGACGCGCTGTTTGTTGTTGGTGCCAGTGCAACTGGCGGCCGGTTTGTTTTCAGCAGTCGCTCAAATTGACCGGTGGCCGGCACGGACCGAGCGCTGCCAGACTCGATTCCGTGCGCAGATACAGTAGCCTTGAGAGCCGCCGCCGCCGGCGCCGATGGATTTGTGCGGTGACAGGAGGCGGCCGTGTCAGTGGCAAAAAAGTTCTGCTCAACCTCACGGCCACGAGCTGGTGGTCACGTGACTTGCCACCGCGAGCCGCCTGCAGGGGGTGCACTGAGGGAGGTGGAGGTCCGGGACTACTGTTCCCCAGCGGTAGGCCGAGCCGACCCTCCCAACTGCGGGCGGCCGGCCCACCGAGCACCGAACCATCGATCCGTGGCACAGCGATACGAGGCCGCCGTCCCTTCTGCGCAGCCGAAATGGAGGCGCCCGAGCGAGCCCACGTGCTCTGGCCACGGCGGCGGCGACTTTCCGCGGCCGGCTCGACGACCCGGCCCCGGGCGACGGCGGCGGCGCGCTGCCACTATTTTTTGTGGGATCATTCACCTCGTTTATCCACCCGGAACCGTGCTAGTGATGTAGCCAGAGACGGCGGCGCGCGGCCACCACGCAGCGGCCGCCGTGGCTCGGCGCTGGGGCCTCGGCAGGGCTGTGACCCGGCCCGCCGTGTCGGGAGGCCGTTGACCCAGAGGTTGACATGCGCTCCTCAGCCGCCCCCGCGCCCACAGTGGTCATGCCACAAGTGACTCGGAGTCCGACCGGCCTCCGTGACACTGCCCGGACTGCCAATCGTCCGGACTGCCGATAGCCCGGCACAGATCGCTCGGCATACGGACAGGGATGACGTGACCGGTCTCCGGGCGCCGCCACTTCCTCGGCCGTGCGCCAGGGCCTGCCCCGACTCGCATCACCTTGACTCGCTGTCATTGACGGCGCCGGCCGGTGAGTCACTGACTCGCCGTCACGGTCCATTCAGAGTCGCGCCGCCGTCCCGTCTGCGGCGGCCGCGCCTCTGTCGTCGGGTGTGACTCGGCTGGGCCCGGCAGACGGAAGGCCGCCGCCTCCGCCGCGCGCCGACCAGACAGCGTTCGTTGACCTGTTGCAGTTTAAAAACTCGTGAGCGCTCCGTGCGCGCCGGTGGTGGCCGCCGCGCCGGCTGACCGACACACGGCGGCGGCCGGCGGCGGCTGCAGCGCAGCTGAGGCGTGGTGGGTCAGCTGGGTGAGTCGTTCGCTACCGGCCCTCACCGGCGGCGTATGTAAACTAGACGTCTGTCCCCGCCGACCTACAGTCGCGCCAGCTCGCTCCCCGCACAACCATCGCCCCGCGCGGTGTTGTGTAACCGGCCGCATTACGCATTACGTCGCCGAGTTACATCTGAGGGGCGCTGACGCCACTCTGCGCGTGCACGCAAACCGGCGCCGGCAGCCCAGTTCTGACGCACGTGCGTATCTGCTCACGCGCGGCAGACGGCGCGGCCGGTCGGCGAATTGGGCCACTGGCGCCGGCCGGACGGCGTTTAAAGGCAGCCAAACAAGCCCGTGTCCTTCACCGAGTGTGCGGGCGGCTGCAAGCTCGTCCCCACCAACCTGTCTGGCGGGCCGGCCGGCCGGCCGGGGATGCCGGCTGCCGTGTTGTGCAGCTGTCAGTCAGCAGCCGCCGGCGGCGGCGGCCGCTCTCCTACACAGCGCCCGGCCGCCGGTCGGGAAGGGGGCGGGGACGGCGGCGGTCTGTCGCCACCCGAGGTGACCGGGTCAGTCGGCTGACCTGGCTGGCCGTCGTGACCGGCCGCCGGCCACGGTGAACGCGCCCGCCGCCCACGGCCACTCTCGCCACCCCCGCCAGCCCCGAGAGGCTGGAATTCCCGGCCGCACAGACACGCCGTGACCGGGGCCACTGCAGAGTCGGGGCGGCGCCGGTCACGCGCCGGGCTGCGGGGCAGGGCGCGACCCACGCGCGGCCGCCGCGCCGGCCGCCGCCGACCCGCCAAAAAGCCGTCCCGGTCACTTCCTGAGTGGCCGGCCTCGACGTGTCACGTGACTATCGCTACGGCCCGGCACAAACAGGGTGGCCCGGTCACGTGACGGCCGGTTGCGTGCGCGGCGTGACGGCTCGTCGCTCGGCGGCCTGCGCCGCGGCGGCACGCTGCGGCAGCGGGCAGCTCGCTGTCATCAGACACACCACACCACGGCTGCAAGATCGCCCCTCGCTCGGTCGCCTTGGTTGGCTTGTCCGACCGGGGGTCGAAGCGGCGGTCGGCGAAAGGCCTGCCTACTCCCTCCCTGACACACCCTTTCCGCTGACACGTGACCTGGGCCGCACGTGACCGGCTCGTGCCTGTAATCAGCACCGCCCCCTGCCTCAGGGACGACGGCGACAGTTTACAGGCCGATCGGCGCATTCTTCACGCATGGTCAAGGCAGCCGCGCCCGCGGCACTGGTGGCGGCTCCGTCCCCAGTTCCAGCTAAGAGGCCCCGCCTTTACCCACCAAGGCTCTGGCGAGTGCTCGTGCGCGCACGACAAGTCTAAAACGCGACCTTTCACTCAAATGGCGCGAGATTGATTCCTGGAAACTTGGCTTGTTACCGATCGCAGAGCCGCTCCGGCTGGTTTTTGTGAAACCGCTTTCGGTCTAGAAGAAGGTCAGAATCGGAGCCTGCCCTTCGGGCGGTGGCGACAGGCGCCACTCTGACCCTGCTGGCTGGCGATGGGCCCACGAATAATCGCTGCTGTGGCGCCCGATGCTCGGAAAAGCCACCGATCTGAGCAGTTTCGGTAAACACCGCTCTCCAAGCGTGGCCGCGCTGGGACGGCCTCCGAGTTGCCCAATCTGAGGGCGCCACGCCTCCGGTCCCCGCTCCACCGAGCTCTCTGAGGGAGCGTGGGCGGTGCCGGGCCGGGTTGCCGGTGGACGCCGACACTCGCCTGCATGCCGCCGAGCTGCCCTGTTTTACTGCGGGCACTTCCTGCCCGTCCAGGGACATGACTGCCTTGTATGCCGTCCGCTGGTGGGCAGTTCACTTAGCAGCGCCACCGATGGTTCCTTGGCTCAACAAGGCCGCAAGGGCGCCTCGGCCCACTTCTGGAAAGGCACTTATAAGCGCCGTAAACCGAGCGTGTGTCATCACTCCGGCCTGCCGACGGAATTCCCGGCGCGCTCGTTTCTAAAAGTGTCGACGATGGGATGTTGTGGCAATGATAGACGCCATGTGGGGAGTGCGCTCGTGCTCGTGGCCCCTCGTTTACGGAGAAATGGTCGCGAATGGTGCCAGTGAAGGTCATGGCTAGTTGGCTATCAGCTGACCACTGACCAGCAGCAACTTCTGGCTATTTTAGCCATCGATTTCTGGCTTATGACCAATGAACAGATAATACATCAACCTCAAATTATTATATACCTAAGCAATTACTGACTTATTTAGCTCGAATCATCATCCCCAGCAATGAATATCCATCGGCTGTCCCACGCTGACCACTGACGGAGCCTTTTCTCGGTTGCAGAGCTGGTGTTGTGGATGCCGCTGACGGTCATTCTGCCCTCGCTGGCCTCTCAGTCCGACTACACCTACTCCGCCAGAAGCCAAAGACGCCCGCGCACAGAGCAATACGACGGGCCCGGCCGGGTAAGCCTTCTGCACCGGACGGTCTAGGTCACCGGGGGGCGGAGGGAGCTCGTGTCCGCCCTCAGCCATGACGTAACCGCGCCGTGCCATGCGGTCTGCCGCGCAATCCGTCGTGGGTGAGCTCTCTGCCGCCGCCTATCTGGCCATCTCGTCTTATCTACTGCTCTTGACGAAACAAGGCCGCTGCCGTAACCGATCTAGGTCAATTTCGGTGTCCGCGTGCACGAGGCGGCATAACGTCCCCGATGCCGGCCGGCCAGCTCGGCAGCGCGGGGGCGTGGCGGTGGGCCGCAGCCGCTCCCCGTCTGAGCTGCAGCTCGGCGCGCCCCGCCCCGCACAGCCCGCCGGCCGGCCGGCCGCCCCGTCTGACCGAGCCCAGATGACGGTGACGAGCGGCGCCTGCAGCTGACCGATCCCCGCTGCACCTCTGACCGATCCCCGCTGCACCCCTGACCGATCCCCGCTCTGTCCACAGGGGCCGGCCGGTCGGCGGTCGGCCTATGACTGGACGAGCGCCGAGTACCGGGCGGCTGGCTCGGTGGGCCCCCTGCTCTCTCGCGTGGACGCCTACTTCCACTACCTGCGCATCGGCGACGAGCCGTGCCGCTGGCGGACCATCTGCCAGCTGGCGCAGCAGGTGTCTGCCCTGGAGCCCGTCAGCGGCCTGCTGCTGCGCGCTCTCAGCAGGTGCGTGTCCCGCTCCCACGCCCTGCACACTGTGCAGCCCGCCCGGGGTCAGCTCGCCCGGTCGCCTCCCTCGCTAATCATGACGTCACCCGGTGCTGTGCCGGCGTCTGACGCGTGGGCGGAGGAGGGGGAGGGCAAGATTACTTTACTAATGGCGGGGGAGGGTGCAAGGCCGCTCAGTCGCCAGACTGTGGCAATGTCGACACGTGCCCATGGCCCACGCGATATTCGACTAGAGTAACAGAGCGTTTCCCCACGCGCTACCATGTCGAGTTAGAGAAGTCCAACGCTACGCCCTTGAAGAGCCGCAGACTTACAGAGGTCTCTGGGGCCACTGCGTGAATAAGAGGCTCTCCCAGGCGCCAGGATGGAAAGAGCAGGACTTTCCAGGCCTGACCTTTAGCTTTCCGGTTCGACAGAACGACGTGACGGGTTATTTTCTCGGCGTTTTCCGACCGCTGTCTGTTACCTGTGGATCTCGGTGTGTAGGTAAACTGCCCAGCTGATGAGTGAGTGTTGACGCCGAGTGGGCGGCGGAGTCTGACCACACCTCTGCCGTTCCAGGGAGAGTGACGGCGGCGCGGCGGTGAGCGCCGAGGGTCGCGCGGCGGCCGCCCGGTTCGAGCTGTACCAGACGGCGGCGGAGAGGGGCCTGTTCGGTGCCGACTGCGCCAGCCTGTACGGCCAGTGCGGTGCCGATGTGCGGCAGCTCATCAACATGCCCGTACTGCAGCTGTGGCAGTGGCTGTCCGACCGACTGGCCCTGCACATCTCGGACGACTAGCCGCCTCCGCCCCCGCCCCCGCCTGGCCCGTCTCCATGTGTTCGTGCTAATGTTACCAGATCCGTGGGGCGCGTGTCGGTCCGCCCCGCCCGGCGGCCGACCGCGCTCCACGCTCGTATATGACTCCTGTGCTATTCAGATCAGACGTTTTTAGATATTAGCCGGTGTCGGCGTCCGCCGACCCACCTAGCGTTCCGCATTGCTCTCTTCTCGTCCGCGAGACCGGCGGAATCGCAGCGAGCTGCTCTCTGCTGTCTCGACCATTGTGATATATATTGAGGCGCGTGTAGTGTGGGGACTGAGACGTGGCCCCGACGTCCGCCTGTTACCAGCAGCCGCACGTGCGCCCGCGCGGAACCACGCACTCGTCAGAGTACGCGGCCGTGCGCGCACTGCGGGCGTGTGTGTGTATGTGTGATTGCGCGTCGCTGAATGTCGCTGGGCCTCCTCACCCTGTGCCGGTCCGCCGGCCAGGGCCGAGGGGGGCGGTGTGAAGTTACGCCGCGTCTGGGTGTGAAGTTACGCCGCGTCGCGCGGTGTAAGAGTACACTGCGGGCAGCCAGTCGTAGCCAAACGCGTCTTTTCCCACCACCTGCGTGTACAATTAGTGTTGGGTCGTTGTTGTCTATTCAGAATGATAATTGCGATGTAACTTGAGTTTTTTACGAAACCTTCGCAATAAAAATATCAAACCATTATTCTGTTTCACCGTATCGCATAATAAGCTTGTTTGAGGTGAGCCGTTTTGAAATTCGTTTAAATTGAACAAGGAAACAAATGGTCGACGAGAATCTCCAGCACCATGAAGGAACGAGCTAATCGTTGGCAAAATAGCGTAAGAAAAAAAGTCATTCTATTTCACCGACATACAGCACAGCATGCATTGAATGGAACATGAAACACACACAACTCTGTAAAATATCTACTATTCTCTAGGCTTTCGTTATTCTCTTCGCTCCAAATATGTTGAAGAAAGAGCGCAGTCAAACACTATAACTCAACGGTGATGATAATAATCGAACATGCACGTACGCCGAACAATAAAATCACTATGCACGACACTGCCAATGAGTCTGGCAGAATGGGCGGCGCAGCGCCGCTGTCAGCGGTCTCACTGACTGCGTGGCCACGCTGTCAGCGGGCGGCCGACGGCTCAGCAGCACAACGTGCGACTGCCGGCCGCGCGGGGTCACCGGGGTCACGCCCGGGTCACCGACCCTGGCCGCAGCCGGGCGGGCCTGTCAGCCTCCTCTGTTGCCGGGAGAGCCGGGGTCACGGTTCAGCTGGGCCGCTGACAGCCGGCCGCCACGCGCTGATGACTTCTCCGGCCGGTCTGTGTGTGTTTGGAGGCGGGTGGACCGTGCCGTGACGGGACACGTTAAAAGGGTGACAGACTAACAAACGCGTGCACTCGCCGGTGGCTCCTGTTGACCGAGGTGGCGGCTCTAAGCTCCGTAACCAGGCGTCACGCGGCAGCTCTAAGCTCCGTAACCAGGCGTCATGCGGCGGCTCTGGGCTCTGTTACCGGCGTTACACGCTGCGGCTCTAAGCTCTGTTACCGGCGTTACGCGAACACGATGCCGAGCTCTGATAGGAGCGGCAGCCGGCTGTGTACGGCGCCTTTTTGCTGCGGTTTTCAGCCAAACGCCTTGGACTGGTCGGCCGAGCGCGGCGCGATGGTGGGGCAGATTGGTGCGGCCTCACCTTCCCTCAGTCAGCGGCGCAGGCCGAGCCGTCGGCCGCGACAGCCTAATGACACGATCAACACATCCTGCTCGGGTGGCCTTCGGTGGCGCTCCCCCCCTCCCGCCGACTCATCCCACCGCTCTGTGGGAAGCGCGGCCGCTTGTAGCGCGCCGGCCAGACATGTTCTACGGCCATGTCGGGAGTTCAGGGCGACACCACGACACTCGTTTGGAGAGTATTTTGTGTCGGCGCAGACGACCAACAGAAGCCGTCTTGCAGAATTGCCAGGAGATCGTACACGTAAAAGCAATTAGTGGGCGGCCGAGGCAGTTGATGAACGATGTGTGAAAATCTCTAAGGTGATCGGGTGTCATTTCACGTGCATCCAGCAAAACTCAGAGTAAGTATCGATCAGATTGACGTAACCAAAGATCCGGGTTTGTAGCATTTTTGATATACATGTTTTTCATGCGCGCGGAGCGGAAGGCAAGACAAAATGCGTAACTTGTGTTTTCAGGATATGACATTCATAGTTGTATGGGACATCGCCAGAAAATCCTATGCATTGGTTACGAGCTACATGACTTCAATAAACTACGCATTTTAGAACCTCTCACACTCCGGGCAGAATCTACATGGAGACCTTTCCCTCCGAGAGTTGACTTGTTTACATCATTTAAGATTTGACTGTTATCTTCAAGATTCAAATAGGCGCAATCTAAGCACTAGAATTGTGATAGTGGTAGACAAAAAAGCGATACAATTTGATATCGGACAGGCAATTAAAATTGAGACCAAGCAAGAAACGACTGACATCCTTTTGTGCATTCCTTTTTGGTAAATATTCACGCTATGCAAACTTTTAGGCCGTTCTGGCGTCAATTTATCTCCCCCGTTAGTCATTGACCGCAATCTGACACGAAAAGTATGGGGTGCTGACTCACTGTCGGCTAGATAGCGTTGACGTAACTCGGACGCCACTCCCAAAGTGGCGCGGTAGATGAGGTATAATGTTTGTACAGATACGGCAGGAGCACACCTGGCCATGCGCTCATCACGGGAATGGCATTTTCCTGCCAGCCCCAGTCTCATTGCTGGGCATAAGTAAAACTGCTGAACGCTGAATCAACACTCACAGGTGGCAGGTTCGATTAGTCGAGACCCGTTTGAAGAGCATATTGCCGGTATGGTGCTGTCCTAACGGACACTTGGTGTGGATATCCGGTGGAGAGTGACAGACACCTATGTAGGCAAAACCACAGCCACCTCGGCGAAACGAAACACATGTGACGTGGCAGTGGAAAGGCTGACAGAGATCTGAGACACACGACTGTCAAAGATAGACAAACTGGAAATTCACAGCTAACTATAAACACAACTTCAGCGAGAGCCATTTATGGAAACTGATCCAGAGTTCAGATTAAGTTAGGAACGTGGGCGATTTTCCCATCGTGGGTATCTCACAGACGTCTTAGGCACATTTTACAGCGTAGCTGGCAGAGGTCGCATTACTTCTCACTTGTTGAGACACTATCTGGAAATTCCGACGCCATTGGGAGCTTTTGAGATTTAAGCCATGTTCATAACATGCTTGTCAGCCTTCCGCTTCCTTTTTGGGGATGCCTTACGAGCCAGAACAGTATCGTTGAAGGAATGCAAATTGAACAGTGAAGTGCAGTGGGCACGAGTATGGAAATGTCTCGCCTACCCGTGCTCGCCCATGATGGGGACGTATGATATCCATCATACACGTATAATAAGACGAAATAACTTCATTATTTCATCATAAATGCCCCTGAGGTGAACGAGAACACTAACACTGCCCACTTGTAAAAGCTTACTGACTGTAATTGACACACTGTTGACGTCATGAGCTACAGGAAGTCAACAAGCGCCAAAATTGTTCGTAAAGGAGGCATTTATCGACGTCAATCAAGGTCACCTTGCTGAGGACTGTTCAGATCAGCATTCATTTTTTTCTTCAAATAATTATATATGCCTAGTACCTATATGCAAGTTTCGGTGCCATGTTACTAGGGCAAGCTCACTAGGCATGGTCACTATGTCAGGTAGAGACTAAAGTCATTCTCTGGAGAGAAGTTAAAACACAATTCCCAGCTGAACGGCTGATTATTTCGAGAAAAACAGCTACGCTTAACTTCTAGCTTAGATACATCCAAATTGTTAACCCTAGAACGCCTAGGGGGGGGGGTTGTATCAACCCCCCCCCCTGAGGTTTTTTTCGAAGTGCACGCTAAACGGCTTGTCGTAGCGGGCTGAAATTTTCAATACCCTCTGGGGCAACCTTTGCGCATCTTTTGTCGAAAAAAAATTGATCGGGTCATGTCAGGTCACGGAGTTATGACGTCATAAGAGGTACAGCCTCCGGCCGGATTTTCACAAACTGAGTGCCAACGCCCGAGGTTTCCTGCCGGTGGTACGGACATCGGTTGATGGATCGTGATGAAACTTCCCATGCATGTTGGGGCAAGTATTGGCTATCATATGGTATAAGAAATTTGACCGGGTCAGGTCAGGTCACGGAGTTATGACGTCACAAGAGGAACAGCGTCCGGTACTATTTTTGAAAAGCGCCCGAACCACTATTTTGCTAATTCTTGTCACCTCAATGGGAATATGCAGCAATATTAGCTTCTATAGGGAATAAATGGACCTCCCAAATCCAAAAATACAATCAGATTTCAAAAATTTAAATTTTGATTTTTCGAATTTCTGCCGCCGACTGTGACCTTGCCAACTTCCGGCGCTCCCAACGCGCCATTTTTAGAGCTAGGGAAATGAAATACATACCAAACGATAGAGAATTGATCAAGAAACACGATAGTGAAGGTTTCAAGTCGATATCTCCCACCGTGTTGCCGCAATCGCCGCCGAAAGTTGAAAAAAGTCTATTTTTCCGAAAATTTGACCTTTGACCGGTCAAAAGTAGGTCAAATGTTGACCTAGGACCAAAAAATATACCACCAATCGCGAGATCTTGTTGAGAGCAATCCGTTGGTTTTTTCCGCTAAGCTCTACGACCTTCCGTTTCGAAACGCCAGGGGGGGGGTCGTAACAACCCCCCCCCCCTGGTCGTTCGTGTTATGAGAAATGGCCTGGTCGTGCGAGGGTTAAAACAAAACGATTTGATTGACTTATTCGTCTATAAACCATCTCAAAAGCACTTGAGCTGCTAACTAAGGAAAACCAGGCCATTAAGAACCAGTAAGGAAAACAGCCATTAGAAAAGAAAAACGCCGAGCTGCTCGGTTTCTTTGGGTCACGATGAGTGTCTTTGTTTGTGTAAGACACGTGAGACAGAGGGGGTTTTACTCGACACTCCGGAAATACCGGCGGGCGACACGGGCACTGGACAATCACCTGTGACCACAGTGCACAGACAGTCCAAACGGTGGGAACATCGGCTCAATCTAGTGAAAAGGCAGTCCAAACAATGGGCACATCGGCACAGTCTCGGCCCACGATTTTAGTGCCACTGGCTGGTGCAATTTACCAAAGGTATACTGAACTTGCCATAGGCAAAAGATTTGGTTTTGTTGATAAGATATCATACCTTTTCGAGATCAACACCCCACCCATCACCGGATAAAACTGTTGTGCACTTTCTCTGTATGTATTGGCGTAAAAGCAACTCCAAGAAAAGCGTTTTGAGTGGATCCGAGTAAGTAGATGTGGCAAAGCAATGCACTTGGCCAAATGGTGCGCTCATCTTAGGAGTGGCATACGCATATACTAGGTACTCCTGTATAAGGCAGCACCACCCACGTCGCCCGCGGGCAGCACTCGACTGCACTCTTCAGCCCTGCTCAGGGATAGGACCCAAACATGTTGCACGGCAGCCCGGTGCGCGTTGCGGCAGTGCCGGGAGCGCGGTTCACGTCTGTGGCCGGCCAACTCGTCCAGAGGTCGATGAGTGGTGACCCTGTGTCCAATGGAGTCAGCGGGAGGCTAAGGTGTTTGGATACGTGCACAGCGCCCCGTGGACGACT